AACGTGTTGCTTCCTACTGATGCAATGCAAATGTACACAGGAGTTGAGCAAAGCGTTAGGATTGAAAAACACAATTTTTAACCGCCAAAAGTGTGCCACCCAATACCACCTCTGAGTCCAACACAGATGCCAAGTAGCGCGCATGAAGACTCTTTTCCTTAAACGTTTCGCTGCTGTCGTGCGTCTCGTCACTGTTGCCAACGGCGTCCGTGTATTGCTCCTTACTTTGTGATTTATTATCAAACTGACATTCATCGTCCTTCACCACCCTTTTACGTCCAGATGCAAGTTCACTCTCAAGCACGTCAGTCAGTTCATGAATATGTTGTGTCATGAGCTTCCTATTCGTAGTGAGTGGGTTTGAACGAAAAGTCAGTGCCCAGTAACGAGACCACAAACAGTCTATTAGAGCCTCATCGCTTTTGCTGCGCACAAGCGTGATAGGAAGCTCATAGTAGCGGTGCGCGTGTATGCCGTACTCTTTAATACGGTCTGAAGACACCCACGTGGGTGTTGAGTTCGTCCGGTGTCTTCCGCTCACCTGTTGATGTATCTCCTGTAAAGATGCTGCGTATTCCTCTGAAAATGTGCGGAAAGCCTTCATATCTAACCTGCCAGTGGATATGGTGCGTACCGGGTCTACGACAATGGCCAGCCACGGGTCCTGTGCTGTCTGTCCAAGCTGCTGTGTGCTGACATCCGTACCTGAAAGAAAACAGGTGTAGCCAGGATGACTGTGGTACCACCCAATGCAACCTTCCTGCGACCCACAACGCTGATGGTACTGAAGGTAGTCCAGCATATACAGCTGTGATGCATCATTCATGGCGCACTCCACCTCGGAGGCGTCGACGGGGAGTGCAAAGGCACTTGTCACAATCATTTCCTCCTCGGTAAAGTGACCCAACATTAGACCCATCACCTCAAACCAATTCTCGTGACGAGGTTCATCTCGTATGGATGAAAAAGAAGCAGAGCCAGCGTCACCGTCATCGGAACACGTCACGTTGGGACTTCCACGTTGCGCATGGCTTATCATCTGCAGCGCAGCCAGAATAGAGACCTTCACCCGTTGAAAGTAGCGTGGTGACCTCTTCCACGGCTGCGTCTTGTGCAGCTCTTCCATGCGTTCAATATTGGGGAATGAGAAGGTATCATCCGTGACCACAAAGTTATCCATCTCCCAAAGGCTGCGCGTCATGTCATGTTGCATTGTCATCATTCATAATAATAATAATAAAGGCAAGCTTCCCACCCACCCCCACCCCCGTGTTTTTTGCTTACAGATAAGAATAGTATTCTTCTGCTTGTATAAATGTATCCTTCTCTTCTTGTTCCTTCAATGAACGTCGCAATTTCTGCCACCACACACACACTCACACACACACACACACACGCAAGAAGAAGAAGAAAAACGAAACTTGTCCATTCACAAAGAATAAATTTAACGCCATGCGAGACACACAATGAAGGCAATACGTGCCACCGTAGTGAAGGACCCTCTTATGCGGCGCCCTCTCATAAAGAGATTTATGTTTGGTGGTGCAGCATTATTACTTTTTTAAAAAACCGTACCTCTCCCTCTCGCCATGGATAAATCTTCCTGGATCCAGTTCCATCGTTCCACTCATAAAAAAGGAGGATACATATATATATATATATTAAATGGTCCTCATTTCAGTCTCGTCTCGTTACCAGCACCACAGAGCAACCTCACCTGCGCCTTCGTCAGCGTGGTCTGCTGCATTCCATGCATGGTAACACCATAGACTGCAGCGTCAGCAAGTTGACTCCGTGTGAGGTTCTGACACCTCGTCTCTGTGCACCGCACCTCCAGCGCGCGAACAGGGCCAGAGGATGACAACACTATGGGTGAGCGTAGCAACACCACAGCTGTATCCTCCGTCTTCTCACTTTCCGCGCTAGCAGGTTCTGATGCAGCAAACTGGTGACTGGCGATGGTAAAACGTTTGTCACGACTTGCATCCGTCCCCACCGTGTCGCAGAGCGCAACTAGAGATACAGTCACTGGGGTCAATGGCGCCTTCCCAAGACGTCGTGTGAACACAAGTGTTGTTAGCGCGGTAATAAACGCAAGCGACTGCGGCTCACGTGGTTTCTCCCGCAAATGCATCTGCTCGCCTCCTCGCATAGTGAGCAAGAACGGCGTCGTAATTTCCGGCATTCAACTTCGTTCTACCTCTCACCACTATAGCAGAACAAAAAAAAACAAGAATAGACAAGATCATGTAAATAAAGAGGAAAGAGCCCACCAACAACAACCTATATACATATAGAAGAAAGTTTCCGCTCCAGTTTCCCTGAAGCTTTCCAGCCAAAGATATCCTCAAAGGTCATAGAGTGCTAAGTACAGGCACAGCTCATTTCCGATAAAGCATCGAGATCCCTCATTCCTTCGTACCAGTTCATTGTAAAAAAGATGAAAGGGAAAAATAAAAATAAAAAATAGAACACTTTCATTAAATATACGCATTTGAGTGCATTGCTCGCAAATTGTTTCCCATAAAAAATGTCAAAAAATTTTTTAAAGCGAAAATATCCAAATTTTAACTCAATATGTTACACTCATCTAATTTTAACAAACAATAAACTCAATAGGCAGAATAAAAAGGCATTTAAAATGTTCCACTTTGAAAACTCCTTGAATTTAACATTGATAAAAACAAGAAGAAAAACTCTGCTAACGACAAGATAAGTCTGATATATATATGTATATATACATGTGAAAACCGTCATCTTCCATCGACACGTGTGTCTTCACCCCGCCCCTAACTGACTGTCGTCAGCTTCACCTTCACCGCTGTGCAAAGATGTGAAAGCTGAACGTGAAGCACTCTTTCCATATACGTTTCTTCCTCCACGATGTCGTAGGATCGGCGAGGCCGCAATGCACGCCTGTTAAAACGCATTCCACCGCGCCGAAGTTCCTGCTTGAAGCCGACACCAGACAAAGCAAACCGTAAAACTCACGGCGCTCCCTCCTCCAACAGGTCAGCGACATCACCTCGATCGTTGCCGGCTGAAAGCAAACCAGGGTTGGGGGACCGAGCAGGCCGCAAACGAACCGAGCCAGTGGCTGGCCAAAGTAAAGCCTGGCACCTCCAATCCCTTTTTCCTGGTCTGTATACGATTATGGTTATCAATACCCTTCAATACATCGCGTAGGAATACAAAAACTATCGATAAGCTGCGAGTAAAGAGGTTTACTTCCCCATTAGTATGGGAGTAAACGATTCTTTATGTGTCGCGTTCCATGCGAGATTCGTTAGCGGTCTCAAGTTATTATGATGAAAAAAAGAACAAATAAAAGGATGTAATAGTATCCGACAAAAAACAAACAAAAAAGGATACATGAATTTCAACAATTTTATAGTCTGCCACACTTAAGAGTATCCCCGCAAAACCCCCTAATAAAACATTTTTCGGTTTTAAGAAGACAGCGAATAGAGGATGTATTTCCATTGACGCACAGAAGCAAAACCTATATATTATATATATTTATATATATATAATAACAATAATGTCCGGGACAAAGTGAGAAAAAGCACCTTTCCCAAGTACAACAAAAAGCGTCATATCAATAGGATTGCTTTCCTTCCATTAAAATAGCTAGAAATCAATCGTTTGTAGACACAGCAATGGTACAGAAAGAAAATGTCCTCCGCAGTGTTCCCCACCGCCTTTCAGCCTCGAGAAAAAGTTGACGCTGAGCTCTTTTTTTCTCACCGCCAATCAAAAAAAAAAAAAGGTCCATCCGTGCGTAAAATTAAAATGCATCACCCACACACACACCGATGCATGGCGAAGAGCCATCCACCCTTTAAACTGTCACGGAGGCCGCCCGTCTCAATACCAAACATGCGTGACTAATTCATCTTCCATTGTTAACAACAATAAAATTCTCACGGCAAGACGTTCGGCAATACAAAACCCAAAAACCACGCGACAAAAAGAGTGCTGGAAACCCCCAGATTGCGCAGCCGCCCCTTTCCTTCCTTTTGCTGACGGCGGGGTTGGCAATTACCGCCCGCGAAGGCGATGATCCCGATAAAAATGCACGGGGTCATTCAAACACGCACGGCGCCGCAGAGCCTGGCCCAGTGGCGCGCGAAGGAGGAAGGCGGGGGCGGGCCGTAAAGGAAGAACGCCCCCCCCCCCCTTTTTTTTTTGTGTTGTCGCAGTTGTGTTGCGGTGACGCTGCGCGGTTTGTGGGCACACCTGTGGGAGTGTTCTTGGTGTGGATTCATTTAGTTTTCCATGTGAGGCGGTTGCGTATGAGTATTATTGTTCGTGTTTTTTACGTTATTTTGTTTTATTTTTTACAGGTGAGTTTACGATGGTGTTGTGCGTTTTGTCGTACGCACTTTTCCTTTTCAAGTGTGTTGAAATTATGTTTTTGAGCGAGTGAAAATCCCTTTGCATCGAGCTCTTACGGATGACTTACACTGCGGTATGCCGTTATGATTAGGCTCCTAAATATATATATATATATATATATATAT